ATTTCCTGCCATAATCATGAATATGGATGAATATGGGATAATACGAGGAAAACCGACCCGGACTTGGATGGTTTCCCCTGGCACCCATTCACCATCCACCTGCCCTATGTGCTGTACCTCTTATGATTCCTACAGGCCTACGTTCCCAGCAAACAACTTACACGGACCCTTTGCTGGTGATGGCCACATCATCTTTCAACGTACCGCACAGCTGTCATACCTGACTCCATCACAAAACCTGTAGCCAAAATTATGACAGAACGATCGACGATGGCAATTGTCAGAAGGCCAAGGCCCCGGCCGCTTGTTCAGGTTGGATCTGCGTCGCTATCTCTTCAGGACTGCCAGGGTGAAGTGAAAGACAACATATGCACGAACAGATGTTGAACAGTTGTGCAAGGAGCACATGCAACAATGTTCGTCCGAAGTAAACTCCTCAAGCCTACGTGAAACTCACATGAATCAATGAATATAGCACATGTGAGTTCAGAACTTGAGCCCGGTCAATGGCCCATTGCATTTCAAGCCCGGCAGTAAAAACTCTTCGAAAGCCGTTCTCAGTCCTCACTCGACAATCTTCTGGATCTACTTCCCAAGGTCTTGCCTGGAGACAAAACATCCCCACGTTGCATTCATGGTAAACCAATGTAAATCAAAGAAAGAAAAGATGCCTGTGAAACAAGGTTATGTACTTTCAGCTCTCTAATAGGGCTGAAGAAGGATTAGTTTGTGTGCCTAGGATTTCATCAACCAAATGTCTAAACATAACTTAACGATCTTGTAACTGGCAGACGTCGCTCTCTCTCTCTCTCTCTCTCCCTCTCTCCCTCTCTCCCTCTCTCTCTCTCTCTCTCTCTCTCTCCCTCTCTCTCTCTCTCTCTCCCTCTCTGTGTTATTCAAGTACTTGAGACAGATCAACCCCAGTGGTTTATTGTTTTACCATCCCCCCCCTTGGGTGGGGGGAAGGAAAAACTGAAATATTTCAAAAAGTTTAAAACGGGGGGCAACCCCCCCATGCACCTAGAATTATTTCAGCCAAAAAAATCTGGCTTACAATGGAAATTCTTACACGTGCAAGCTGGTTGAAGCACGCGTTTCCATTTTTTTCCTCGACTCTAGCTTTGCTTGTTGATCTCCCCTTGCTGACACGCCTGCACATGTTTTGGCACTTTCTCGGATTGGCCCTGCTGAATACCTAAAATATGTTTCCTGTTGATCGTGGCATCCGGAGGATCCCCCCACCTCTTTTCCCACCTCTTTTGGAACCCCAAAAAACATGTGGGGGGGTTAAAGTTCACGTGGTCAAGTGAAATATTTCTCAAAAATGTCTTGCCTTACCCCCCCCAAAAAAATCAAGGGTTATATAAAGGGGTTGTGGTTTACCTTAATCGTGTTCCAAAATCAATCTTCTGCCTCTGACTCCCCAGCCATGCGATGCGATGCTAGGGCCCCGTGCAACTCGTACATTTACCTGCAAACACAGGGAACGCTAATGTATTTTGAATACTTTTGAGTGCTGGTAGTGAACATGGGGAAAATGCATGAAAATGCCAGACGTACAACAGGAATCAGTTTGAACACGGCTGACACACTGCGGCCGATACTACCCAACCGCAGCACCACCACTGGAGCCACCGAAACTACAACAGCAACCACTACCACGACTGTGACATCAGCCTCCCCTGGCGGCCTGCGACTCGGAAGATTTGGCAGTCTTTGATACCAGTTCTTCCTTGGCTCCATGGACTCCATGCTCCATCGACCCCAGGCTCCGACTCCATCCTTCACTATCGTGAGCTACCCTGTCCCATCAAAGGAACAAATTGCATCGCATACCTATTTCATCATTATTTCATCATATGTCCTTGAGAATATGAAACAAGATGCAGCCCACGAACCCGAATGCAGTCACGTCGAACACTATTGTGAGACAAGTGATTTGAACAGTCTACATTTTTCCCCTGTTACCGTACCAGTGCACTGTAGACTGTGGAATGCGAAAGAGGGTGGGGTGTAAAGTGTAGAGTGCGGAGTGTAAAGTGTGGAGTGTAAAGTGTGGAGTGTAAAGTGTGGAGTGAGGAGTGAGGAGTGTAAAGTGTAAAGTGTGGAGTGTAGAGTGTAGAGTGTAAAGTGTAGAGTGTAAAGTGTAGAGTGTGGAGTGTGGAGGGTAAAGTTTGCAGTGTGGAGTGTAAAGTTTGGAGTGAGGAGTGCAAAGTGTAAAGTGTGGAGTGTAAAGTGTAAAGTGTAGAGTGTGGGGTGTGGAGTGTAAAGTGTAGAGTGTAAAGTGCAGAGTGTGGAGTGTAAAGTGTGGAGTGTGTAAAGTGTAGAGTGTAGAGTGTGGAGTGTGGAGTGTAGAGCATAGAGTGTGGAGTGTAGAGTGTAGAGTGAGGAGTGTAAAGTGCAGAGTGTGGAGTGTAAAGTGTGGAGTGTGGAGTGTGGGGTGGAAAGTGTAGTGTGGGGAGTGTGGGGTGGAAAGTGTAGTGTGTGGAGTGTGGAGTGTAAAGTAAGGAGTGTGGAGTGAGGAGTGTGTAAAGTGTAGAGTGTGGTGGAGTGTGGAGTTTGGAGTGTGGAGTGTGGAGTGCGGGGTGTAAAGTAAGGAGTGAAAATTGTATAGTGTGGAGTGTAGAGTGTGGAGTGTAGAGTGTGGAGTGTAAAGTGTAGAGTGTAAAGTGTAGAGTGTAAAGTGTAGAGTGTAAAGTGTGGAATGTAAAGTGCAAAGTGTAAAGTGTAGAGTGTGGAGTGAGGAGTGTAAAGTGTAGAGTATGGAGTGAGGAGTGTAAAGTGTGGAGTGTGGAGTGTAAAGTGTGGAGTGTGGAGTGTAAAGTGTAAAGTGCAAAGTGTGGAGTGTAGAGTGTAGAGTGTAAGGTGTGGAATGTAAAGTGTGGAGTGTAAAGTGTGGAGTGTAAAGTGTGGAGTGAGGAGTGTAAAGTGTGGAGTGTGGAGTGTTGTAAAATGTGTAGTGTAAAGTGTAAAGTGTGGAGTGTAGAGTGTAGAGAGTAGAGTGTAAAGTGTAGAGTGTAAAGTGTGGAGTGTAAAGTGTGGAGTGTAAAGTGTGGAGTGAGGAGTGTAAAGTGTAAAGTGCGGAGTGTGGAGTGAGGAGTGCAAAGTGTAAAGTGTAAGTGTGAAGTGTGGAGTGTGGAGTGTAAAGTGTAGAGTGCGGAGTGTGGAGTGGAAAGTGTAGAGTGTGGAGTGTGGAATGTGGAGTGTGGAATGTAGAGTGTAGAGTGTAGAGTGTCAAGTGTGGAGTGTGGAGTGATGAGTGCGAAGTGTGAAGTGTAAAGAGTGGAGTGTAGAGCACGCAATGCGACATGTCTGAAGCGCCGCGCCTGCCACGCAAAATGACGACGGAGATCTCCAAAATGCTGCGCTGGCCACGAAAACTGCAACTCATCTTGTGAAAACGATGCAACAGTACTGCGCCTGCCACACAAAACGACTTTCGACACGTTATCAAACAGGTTGGAATGTGATAAAGTGCCGCGCCTGCCACGCAAAACGACATGACAACCTGCTTTGACACCTTCGAAAAGAGAAGTTTTGCGGCATTCCCCATAGACACGGCGAGGCCACAGGAAAACCAGAGACTCGAGACGAGACACGCGGGAGCATCAAAACGAGCATTTCGTGACTTTGTAGCGTCAAAATCGACGTTTTCCTACGAATTTTCCTTAGAACCTGAAGATTTGCTACCGCAAAATCGATGTTTCGTGCGAAGATTCCGCCAATTTTCATCACATCTCACAAAATGCAACGCCTGCCACGGAATTTGCACCTTGTCGCCACTTGACGCAGCCCTGACAATGCGATTCGCAAAAAACACGCAACACGACACGTCTAGCGCTGCGCTTGCCACGCAAAATGACGATGGACACGTCCAAAGTGCTGCGCCGGCCCCGAAAACTGCAACTCATCTTGCGGAAACGTCGCAAAAGTATTGCGCCTGCCACACCAAACGACTTTCGACACGTTACATAACGCGTCTGAATGTCACGAAGTGCCACGCCTGCCACGCGAAACGAAGCAACGCGACGTTTGAAACCTCCAAAAACGACCCCTTCTGCAGAACTGACCATAGGCACGGCCATATAGCAATCACGCGGACGGTTGCGAACGGTTAAGCAACGTCGAGCGAACACACCCTCAACCCCCAGACCCCCAGAGTCAAACGGGAACCCTTGCTACGCATTCGGGAAAAATATTATGAAAAATAACCTGCACAGGTCACAGGTGTATCGAAGCCACAGGGAACTGCCAAGGCTTGCACCCACACATGGAATGGATCTGACATCCTTGGCCAATGGGGCAAAAATTTTAAGAAATGCCAAAAGCATTCGGCATCCGCTTGCTCTCAAAAATTCTCCCAACTCTCAGCAAGGTCCGCACGATTTGGCAGATAGTTGCTTGCCAATCTTGGAGCTCTCGCTGTCCTCAGGTTCCAGGGAGCGGAGATTGCCAGTGGCAGAAGAACTACACTAAGTCACTAAGGCTTGAGGCCTTCAGTTCATTGAGACTCAACTAGGCAGGCGTCAGCAAGAATTCCAGCCAAGACATTTCTTGCTTGCTGGCCTTATGTTAAGGTAGGAAGCGGAGCGTTGTAGTTTTATGATTTCAGTGTTTCAGAATTTTGCTGTGCCCAACTGCAGAGTGCTCAGCAATATGGACTCAAGGATGAAAGGCTTCTTAGCCCCCCGGCCCGCTCCTCCAGCATCTCCCCCTTTGCGAGTCCAACAACAAATAGAACATATTGGAACATGTGTCCGCAGAACTTCAACAGGTTCCTTGAAAAATCTCCCCAACTGATTTCAGTTGCAGTGTATCCATGGGGTGTTCATGGTTTAAGCTCAGCACCGGAGGCTTCTCTGGTGGCAATAGTGGGCCCATCTCTTCCAACGCTGTGACTCCAGAAGCAGCCTGAAATTGTCTATGCCGAACTTGCGGTGACTCATGGCTCGGGAAACCAGTTCTGTCACTGCATGCTGTCTGTCAGGTCTATGTTTCTCATTGTCTCTCATCAGGAGTCACACTTTCAATACATTTCAGCACGCCTTCCTTCAGACTCCGCCATGCCAGACTAGTTGGAAAGCCGTACATAGTAGATATGGTCTTGGGCTCTTCTGACCAACAGAACAGCCACAAATGTTACAACTGCAACTGACACGAAGACTACCAGCATAGTCATCACTAATGCGTCTGGCTCTGCAAGAGGCGGATCAGCATTTAGTCTGTCCAGCCCCTTTCCCTTAACTTCAGGACTTCCTTCAGGCACAAAAGTGACAGTTGCACCTTGCAGGTCAAAGATTGAAGAGACCTTCCGAAGAAAAACGTCTCCAAGAATCATATGAGGCAAGGTCTTGCCATCATCCTGCAGAGGTGAAATCCCAATCTTGCACAGTTCGTGGCCATTCGGTGATTTTCCTGCGGGTAGAAGAATGTCTTCTGTTGACAAACTGAGAAGCAGCTCCCCATCTCTTCCAGGAAAGTGAAAGACTAGCTGGTTCAGTCTTGTGCCATCGCAGGGCACAAGACCATGATGAAAATGAATCTTCGGCAATCCAAATGTCAAGGCCCACAAGGCTTGGTTGTATGCGGGCATCGGCAACAGCAACAAAGATGTCCCTGAGTCGACGATCCCATAACCGGTCAATTCCAGAAGCAATCCAGTTGAAGTCACCATGTGCACACGAAGATCCATCGCAACCAGCCAAAATAGTAACTGCCCTTGCTGTCCTTGCTCTTGCTGCGCAAGGGTTTCAAACCCATGGACATCCAAAGTTACACCTTTTGTGGACGCCTTTTCCTGTGCATCCTGGATCAAGTCAGGTACTTCCCCTATGGTAAGGAAGCTATGATGGTGAGAGTCACGCAACACAAGGCCGAAGCCTGGGTTGCTGAAGCCTCCTGCCACACCTAGATCTTGAAAGAACGTTCGGCTGCCAATATCCAACATCCGAGGGAATGCCATGCCGAGAATTCCATCGAACAGATCCGAATTCCGACCCATGCCCTTGATCTCGAAAGCGAGAAGGAAAGTCTGTTTCCACACACAAAGGGCGGCGAGACACATTCGATCCGTTGCAGCTTTCCCAAAAACATCTCCCAAACCATAGGTGACATGTGCCTCATAGTCTGTCACTTCGGCCGTCTTAACCATAGATTGCTTCAGCCACAGATTACTGGATCCAGTATCAACCATAACACGCAAAGGGTTGCCTGCAGGACCAACCTTCAATTCGGTTGTGTAAAGAATGTCCTTGTAGTCCCACAATGCTACTTCTTCTGGTTGGGGTAGCCCGTGCGGGCTGGAAACCATCCACTGGGTCCACAACCTCGAAGCTGCATTGGCTTCGATGTTGGCTTCGACTTTGGCTTCGCTGGTGTCATTCCTAACATCGCCTCCGCTCACTGCATTCACGGCATCTACCTGTGCAGCTTCCCAAGCGAATCCATCCCCCAGACTGAAGTGATGGACAGGCGGCTCCCATCGCACCAATGGCACCTGCAGGATGCCAGTAGCAAGCGGCACGGGCCACAATGCAGGCCGCATGGCACGAACATTATGTGGATGTGCTGCTGAAATGTTGCTTGTCATATCAGCATCATCACATGTTATAAACGTCATCCATTACTCAATTTCACCCCATCTTATTCCTATACAGTCTGACCGGTGAGCACAAAGCATGCCGATGCTACATGCATACACCTGAGATCATCTAAGTGGGGTGCTGCGCAGGTCTAATGAGATCTAATGAGTCTATAATGATGTGACGGCAAATTCGAGTATATCCGAGCAGTCTGATTTGTTGTTTTTTTTCATATGTGTTCATCTATTCATGTTTGCCGCAGCTTACAACTTTGGGATGGTTTGCAGGTGCTGCGGTTCGATTTGGCACTGTAGGCTCATGACATCTCCAAATTTGAAATGAAGCACAATAATTAAAATGAATAAAGCATAATAAAGCAGCGTTGAAACTGCGGCTGACGAAGAACTTGAGCTTCGGTCCAAAGCTTCACAGAGCGGTTCCTGGGACCTGAAGGAAAGACGTATGCAACGGGCAGATGGAGAAAGACTCAGAATATAGACAAAATAGAACAAACATTTAAAAAACTTACAAACAAGATGCAGCCCACGAACCCGGATGCACTCACGTCGAACACTATTCATAGACAAGTTATTTGAACAGTCTACATTTTCCCCTGTTACCGTACCAGTGCACTGTAGACTGTGAAATGCGGAAGAGGGTGGAGTGTAAAGTGTAGAGTGTGGAGTGTAAAGTGTGGAGTGTGGAGTGTGAAGTGTGGAGTGAGGAGTGCACAGTGTAAAGTGTGGAGAGTGGAGTGTAGAGTGTAAAGTGTAGAGTGTAAAGTGTGGAGTGTGGAGTGTAAAGTTTGCAGTGTGGAGCGTAAAGTGTGGAGTGAGGAGTGTAAAGTGTAAAGTGTGGAGTGTAGAGTGTGGAGTGTGGAGTGTAAAGTGTAAAGTGTAGAGTGTGGGGTGTGGAGTGTAAAGTGAAGAGTGTGGAGTGTGGAGTGCAAAGAGTGCAAAGTGTAAAGTGTAGAGTGAGGAGTGAGGAGTGTAAAGTGTTGAGTGAGGAGTGCAAAGTGTAAAGTGTGGAGTGTGGAGTGTAGTGTGTAAAGTGTAGAGTGTAAAGTGTAGAGTGTAAAGTGTACCGTGTGGAGTGTAAAGTGTGGAGTGTGGGGTGTAAAGTGTAGAGTGTGGAGTGTAAAGTGTAGACTGTGGAGTGAGGAGTGTAAAGTGCAGAGTGTGGAGTGAGGAGTGTAAAGTGTGGAGTGTGGAGTGTACAGTTTAAAGTGTGGAGTGTAAAGTGTAAAGTGCGGATCGTAGTGTAGAGTGTAAAGTGTGGAATGTAAAGTGTGGAGTGCAAAGCGTGGAGTGTAAAGTGTAGTGTGTGGAGTGAGGAGTGTAAAGTGTGGAGTGTACAGTGTAAAGTGTGGAGTGTAAAGTGTGGAGTGTAGAGTGTAGAGTGTAGAGTGTAGAGTGTAAAGTGTAGAGTGTAAAGTGTAGAGTGTGGAGTGTGGAGTGTAAAGTAAGGAGTGTGGAGTGTAAAGTGTGGATTGAGGAGTGCAAAGTGTAAAGTGTGGAGTGTGGAGTGGGGAGTGCAAAGTGTAAATTGTAAAGTGTGGAGTGTGGAGTGTAAAGTGTAAGGTGTGGAGTGTGGAGTGTAGAGTGTCAAGTGTGGAGTGTGGAGTGTGGAGTGATGAGTGTGAAGTGAAAAGGGTGGAGTGTAAAGTGTAGAGGGTGGAGTGAGGAGTGTAAAGTGCAGAGTGTGGAGTGAGGAGTGTAAGAGTGTAAAGTGTGGAGTGTGGAGTGTACAGTGTAAAGTGTGGAGTGTAAAGTGTAAAGTGTGGAGTGTAGTGTAGAGTGTAAAGTGTGGAACGTAAAGTGTGGAGTGTAAAGCGTGGAGTGTAAAATGTAGTGTGTGGAGTGAGGAGTGTAAAGTGTGGAGTGTACAGTGTAAAGTGTGGAGTGTAAAGTGTAAAGTGTGGGGTGTAGAGTGTAGAGTGTAAAGTTTAGAGTGTAAAGTGTGCATTGAGGAGTGTAAAGTGTAAAGTGCGGAGTGAGGAGTGCAAAGTGTAAAGTGTAAAGTGGAGAGTGTAAAGTGTGGAGTGTGGAGAGTGGAGTGGAAAGTGTAGAGTGTGGAGTGTGGAGTGTAAAGTGTAAAGTGTAGAGTGTAAAGTGTACAGTGTAATGTGTACCGTGTGGAGTGTAAAGTTTGGAGTGTGGGGTGTAAAGTGTAGAGTGTGGAGTGTAAAGTGTAGACTGTGGAGTTGTAAAGTGCAGAGTGTGGAGTGAGGAGTGTAAAGTGTGGAGTGTGGAGTGTACAGTGTAAAGTGTGGAGTGTAAAGTGTAAAGTGTGGATTGTAGTGTAGAGTGTACAGTGTGGAATGTAAAGTGTGGAGTGTAAAGCGTGGAGTGTAAAGTGTAGTGTGTGGAGTGAGGAGTGTAAAGTGTGGAGTGTACAGTGTAAAGTGTGGAGTGTAAAGTGTAAAGTGTGGAGTGTAGAGTGTAGAGTGTAAAGTGTAGAGTGTAAAGTGTAGAGTGTGGAGTGTAGAGTGTGGAGTGTAAAGTAAGGAGTGTGGAGTGTAAAGTGTGGATTGAGGAGTGCAAAGTGTAAAGTGTGGAGTGTGGAGTGGGGAGTGCAAAGTGTAAATTGTAAAGTGTGGAGTGTGGAGTGTAAAGTGTAAAGTGTGGAGTGTGGAGTGTAGAGTGTCAAGTGTGGAGTGTGGAGTGATGAGTGTGAAGTGAAAAGGGTGGAGTGTAAAGTGTAGAGGGTGGAGTGAGGAGTGTAAAGTGCAGAGTGTGGAGTGAGGAGTGTAAGAGTGTAAAGTGTGGAGTGTGGAGTGTACAGTGTAAAGTGTGGAGTGTAAAGTGTAAAGGGTGGAGTGTAGTGTAGAGTGTAAAGTGTGGAACGTAAAGTGTGGAGTGTAAAGCGTGGAGTGTAAAATGTAGTGTGTGGAGTGAGGAGTGTAAAGTGTGGAGTGTACAGTGTAAAGTGTGGAGTGTAAAGTGTAAAGTCTGGGGTGTAGAGTGTAGAGTGTAAAGTTTAGAGTGTAAAGTGTGCATTGAGGAGTGTAAAGTGTAAAGTGCGGAGTGAGGAGTGCAAAGTGTAAAGTGTAAAGTGGAGTGTAAAGTGTGGAGTGTGGAGAGTGGAGTGGAAAGTGTAGAGTGTGGAGTGTGGAGTGTAAAGTGTAAAGTGTGGAGTGTGGAGTGTAGAGTGTCAAATGTGGAGTGTGGAGTGTGGAGTGTGGAGTGATGAGTGTGAAGTGAAAAGGGTGGAGTGTAAAGTGTAGAGTGTGGAGTGAGGAGTGTAAAGTGCAGAGTGTGGAGTGAGGAGTGTAAAGTGTGGAGTGTGGAGTGTACAGTGTAAAGTGTGGAGTGTAAAGAGTAAAGTGTGGAGTGTAGTGTAGAGTGTAAAGTGTGGAATGTAAAGTGTGGAGTGCAAAGCGTGGAGTGTAAAGTGTAGTGTGTGGAGTGAGGAGTGTAAAGTGTGGAGTGTGGAGTTTACAGTGTAAAGTGTGGAGTGTAAAGTGTGGAGTGTAGAGTGTAGAGTGTAAAGTGTAGAGTGTAAAGTGTAGAGTGTAAAGTGTAGAGTGTGGAGTGTGGAGTGTAAATTAAGGAGTGTGGAGTGTAAAGTGTGGATTGAGGAGTGCAAAGTGTAAAGTGTGGAGTGTGGAGTGGGGAGTGCAAAGTGTAAAGTGTAAAGTGTGGAGTGTAAAGTGTAGAGTGTGGAGAGTGGAGTGGAAAGTGTAGAGTGTAGAGTGTGGAGTGTAAAGTGTAAAGTGTAAAGTGTGGAGTGTGGAGTGTAGAGTGTCAAGTGTGGAGTGTGGAGTGATGAGTGTGAAGTGTAAAGGGTGGCGTAGAGCACGCAATGCGACACGTCTGAAGTGCCGCGCCTGCCACGCAAAATGACGACAGAGATCTCCAAAATGCTGCGCTGGCCACGAAAACTGCAACTAATCTTGTGAAAACGACGCACAAGTACCGCGCCTGCCACACAAAACGCCTTTCGACACGTTATCAAACAGGTTGGAATGTGACAAAGTGCCGCGCCTGCCACGCAAAACGACATGACAACCTGCTTTGACACCTTCGAAAAGGAGAAGTTTTAACGCAGCTTCCCCCATAGACACGCGGGGAAAACCAGAGACTCGAGACGAGACACGCGGGAGCATCAAAACGAGCATTTCGTGACTTTGTAGCGTCAAAATCGACGTTTTCCTACGAATTTTCCTTAGAACCTGAAGATTTGCTACCGCAAAATCGATGTTTCGTGCGAGGATTCCGCCAATTTTCATCACATCTCACAAAATGCAACGCCTGCCACGGAATTTGCACCTTGTCGCCACTTGACGCAGCCCTGACAATGCGATTCGCAACGTCTAAAGTGCTGCGCCTGCCACGCAAAATGACGATGGACACGTCCAAAGTGCTGCACCTGGCGCGAAACTGCAACTCATCTTGCGGAAACGTCGCAAAAGTATTGCGCCTGTCACACCAAACGACTTTCGACACGTTACAGTTAAAGACAGCGGACGTCCATGAAATGTGCAACCGCCCGCACCCTTTTTACTTACCCGGGGATACCATCGCTGAAGCCAAAAAAGGCTAGACGTCCCAGCGGCTCTGTGCCTCCCATCCACCGACCAGGGTATGTATTTACATTGTTTTCACACATCCCCCCCTCTGTCGGCGCGATGGGTTTTGAAACGCTTTCGCTGTTCCGCTGCGGTCTGTCTTAGACCTTGGGCTTCATCTGTGTCCTTTAAGGACCATCTTCCTTCCATCAGGGCCTTCTGAAGCGCCTTGTTGCCAAACCATTTGGTCAAGCCATCCGACACCATATGATGTCCAGGCACCCAGCGCGCAAAGGCATTGCTTCGGTCCTCCAAGAGCGCCTGCTTCAGGACTGCCAGATCGATTTGGATCTTTCTGTCACTCGTCTGGGCTTCACTTGTGAGCACATCGAAGCCAGTCTTGGCGTCGATCACCAGGAAGTGCCTCCATTGGTTGGCCCACAATTTCCACTCCTTCAAGACGAACTGGCCATGAACCAT